CTACCCATCCAACCATTCTTCCAAGCCCCCATCTATCTACCTTTTTATCCCCCATCCACCCCCCATCTGCCAGTCTATCCATCCATCCAATCATATTTCCTTCCTTTCATCCAACCATCCACCTACCCATCATCTACTCATTCATCCCTCTGCCTATCTTTTCTTTTCCTTGCCCATCATCCACTCATCCATTCTCTTTAGTTACCACTCATCCTCCTTCCGACCCACCCACTCTCCTTACCCATCCATCCATCTTTCCATGCATCCACTCACCCATCCATCCATCCATCCGTCCATCCATCCACGTTCCATCCACATACTCATGTATTCAGCAGACATTCACTGAGCGCCTGCCATGGCTGGTGCAGTGCTAGGTTCTGCAGTGTCTAAGATATGAATTTCATCCCTAAACCTTCTCCATATTTTATGGACATTGGCTGGGATGGTGGGAGCCAGTGGAAAGGTGTTTCAAGAAAGAAGCGGTTAGGGGAGTGTGTTAGTCTTGGTAGACTAGAGAAACAAATCCAGGGAGACTCATAATCATATAAGAAAGAGCTTTATATACTAGAGCAATTACTCATTAAGAAAGCATCCCAGCCCAGCCCAAGTCCGTAAGTCCAATATTAGTCCATAAAACCAGTGCCAGTCTATGAATTCCTCTTTAGACTCACACAGCACATGCAATTATGCCAAATGCAGGAAGATCACTGGCCAGTGGGTGGAAAGTCTCGTGGATCCAGTGGTGGTGGAAGCATCTCAGTGCTGGCAGGGGTCTCCACGTGGCTCCTTCAGCTGCGAGGCGCTGATTGCCATCAGCCTGTCTCCATGTGGCTTGTCAACAAGAATGTCTGTCTGGGAGTGAGCGAATGTCCCACCTCCAAGGAGCTATTTATCTCCATAGTATCTCCAAATGAGGTCCTCACGCTGTGACCTGATTGACAGGCTAGACTCCACCCCTTCTTTCTTAATCCTCTCAAATTGACGCCAGATGATGTAACAACCACAGGGAGGGAGGGAATAAAAAGGAGCTGATCTCAAAGGGCTCAAGCAGAAAGAAAATATTTTGAACGTAATGATGGCAACATCCGTACACGTTCGCTTGACATAATTGATGGATTGTTATAATATTTGTAAGAGCCCCAATAAAATGATATTTTTAATGCCAAAAACCAGTAGGAGAGAGTTTAATATCATTAATGATCAAATTATTTTTAAAAAATTTTTAAAGAAGAAAGACTCTTCCAAATTTGCCCTCTCCCCAGGTGACAATGCAGGGGGCTCCTGCCTCTTGGTGGGGACATTTTATCGTAATGGAATCCCAGAGCCGAGGGTTGTTCTGAGGTTGCTGACTCGTCCTGCCAAGTGGTGGCCAGTCTCTGTGGTGGCTGTCCCCTAGGACCAGGGGCTCAGCCCTGCTGTGGTGGCCACGTGCTCTGATGTATTCCTGTCCCCAGGCTCCACCGTGTACACCTGCATGCTGAACCATCGGGGAGGCACAGAGAGTGACCTGACCGTCAGCCGGCTGGACCCTGGGCCACGGGCATCCCCGCTGGCCCCCGCCTTTGAAGGTAAGAGCAGCCTCTGGGGGCACAGGGACCCTGTGATGGTGTGGCTGCTGATGGCAGGGTGCGGGAGCCTCGGTCATCTCTGTAATGACCTCCCGTGCCTGCTGTGGTCAGGGCCAGGGAGATTAGAGGCCTCGCTTCCACTAACTGCAGGCTTGGTGCAGACAGCCATGCTGGAGCCCAGCCAGGCAGTGATTATGCCTTTGAACCTGTCTGCTCCGAGGCGGCGTGGGCGGGCTCTGAGCCTAGGGCCCTGCCACCCACTCACCGGAGCTCCTTTTACCTCCCTCATCCATTCGCCGCCAGCTCCCTCTGTGCCCGAGTTACTCCCGCCGGCCTCAAGTCTGGAAGGGAGCTAGGCTGTTGCCCAGACTGCCCTCTGCAGTCCCTCCACTTCCGCTTGCATGTCCCCAGTGACAGGGAGCTCAGTACCTATGCTTCCTTGTCTGCACAGCCCTGGCGGCTACACTGCACCCCTCACCTTGACTCCTGGCCTTGACCCTGCTTTACCCAGAGCCATTGGGCCTGTGGGCCTGTGACATAGGTGCAGCAGGGGCCGAGCAAGCCGGCCCAGGTTTGCAGGGAGGGTCCATGATCATTCCTGAGGGAACGGATTTGCTGAGAGGTGGGGTGTTAGCTGTGGGGCTTTGTGCCCTCTGGGTGACCTGACTCCCTGAGCCTCAGTTTCCCCAGCTGTGAAATAAGAGGACCCCCCTCCCAGGGTTTCTGTGAGACGCCAGCCTTGAGGTGCTGGGAGGGCTGGGAGGGGCCTCCCCGAGCCCCAGTTTCCCCTTTCCACGTGGATGCCTCCTTCCAGCTGCAGAGCGGGTCCTGAAGGGGTGGGAGGCGCTACGTGGTCTGAGAGAGGGTTAAAGTGGGGAGGTGGCAGCTCTGGGGGGTGGGAGGGTGGGGGGTGCAGTGGCTCTTGGTGGTGGTTTCTACCCTGAAGGCAGGCTGTGCGTCTGTGTTGGCTGCACAGCTCTGGGCAAGGGCCACCCACCCATCAGGCGGGGCCTGGGATCCAAGCCCTGGGGCAGGGGCAAGAGCAGAACCCAATTTATGATCGGTTTAAAAGGCCCCGTTCTGCTAGGACTATGCATGTCAGTTAAACACACGTGCGTCTCACGCGCCTGCTGCTCCCACACCAGGTCACCATCCCGCCAGGAGCTCGGCCCCTCCGCCCTGGTAGCCTATATGCAGAGCTGAGGCCCAAGGGGCGGTAATGCTCCCATGTCAGAGGGAGGGGCTTGAGAGGCCGGACAAGCAGAGAATGAATGAATGGCCTGCAGAGCTGCCCCCCCAGCTCCAGCCAGACCCCACAGAGCGCCCCCTGAGAAGCCTGGCCTTCCCACCTGACTTCCGTCCTGTCCTCACCTGAGGAGGGCCTGGGGCTGCTGCCAGTGCCCCGCCCACTGGTCCCAGGCTCCATGTGGGGGGATGGTTTTCAGAGATGGTGGCCCAGAGACTGGGTAGCTGGGCCATTCTCATGCCCTCCTGGAGTGGCTTGGTGGGGCTGAGACCCACGGGGTCCTGGATCATCAGTGTCAGTGTGTATGCGAGGGGCAAGGGGCTGGGGATACATGGGTTCCTCAGGTGTCAGGACCCCCAACACCCTGTGGGCCCCCAGCCTGGGTGTGTCTGTGGCATCTTCTCTCATCCATCTCAAAGGAGGGGGGGACGACATTTGGGGTGTCTGGCTGGTGCTTAGAAGGACTTGTCAGGCAGTGGGAGGCTCTCAGCAGCCCTGGGGTACAGGCGCTGTGGTTCTACCCGTCTTTAAAGAAAATCATTTTATTGGGGGCTCGTACAAATCTTACTATCACAATCCATCCATCCATTGTGAAGGAAACTGAGGCTCAGAAAGCAATGAGTCCCATATCTGGGCCAGGCCTGGGCTTTCCCAAGACAGGTCCTGAGGGTGGGCAGGTGGGGCAGGTCGAGGGGGGCTAGGTATGGGAGAGGAAACAAAAAGCCCCCACAATTCCCACCACTGACTCCCCCCTGACACAGGGCGACCCTGTAGCACAGGGTAGAGTTGCTCTGTGCATTTCTGAGACTGCCACTCTATGGGAGTGGAATCCTGTCTTTCTGCGACGGAGCGGCTGGTGGATTTCAATCTCTGACCATGCAGTCAGAAGCAGGGCCGCTGAGCCACCCACCTCGGCTCCCGGGAGGGACAGGGTTGGGCGGTGGGATCTGGGAAGCAGGTCTTCCTCCTCAGGTGTCATGGAACTTGAAGTTCGAGGTGTGTGGACGTGGCCCCGGGAGCTGTGTGGGGTACAGCCAGGGACTCAAGAGGGCCATAAGGCTCAGACTGCCTGTCCTGGACATCTGGGGGTTGGGGGGAGCTGAGCTGCCCAGTGCCAGACATCTGGTGTGTGGGAGGGTGGTCACCCTAGGGGTTGGTGGGGGAGGCCGGTCATCAGGTCTAACCTTTGTCACTCTTGTGAAGGAAGAAGCCAATCTGTTCTTGGTTCTCACCAGGAGGCCTCCCCGGCCCCTCCCTCTTTTGCCACGACCCACTTCTGTTTCCAGGAGATGGCTACTACCTGGCAGTGGGCGGGGCCGTGGCCCAACACAATTGGTCCCACATCACCACAGTGCTGCAGGACCAAAGGCTCCGGTGCCAGCTCATTGACCACTCGGAGGACCTGGGCATGATCAGCGTCCAGGGGCCGGCCAGGTGAGCAGAGGACACCCAGGCCTGGTGCAGTGGGTGGGCCCCCTGGGTCACCAAGCCTCTGGAGAGGCCCAGCCAGAGAAGGCCTGCGCCCGGGCTTTGCTCTGCATTTAGTCGGGGCTGGGCTGGGGGGTCTCTGGGCCTCCCCTAGCCTGGGAGTGGAGTGTGCCTCCCTCGGCTCGGGGACACTGGGCTGCCGCTGACGGCTCCTAGGCTGGGATGTGGGCAGGAAAGTAACTGTCCACAGACGGGTCCCCCATGGGACGAGCTATTCAACTCTGTGTGTGCGCACAGGGCACCTCCCAAGGGGGTCAGGAGGCTGTGGCAGGGACGCTGCCCTCCATGGAATGAGCTCGGGAAACTCTAAACAAGGTGTGTCTGCTGGTGAACCTGCTACTCACTCAGTCACTTCTGGTTTACTGAGCCTCATCCCACTCAGTCAGTCCCTGTTTACTGAGCCTCATCCCACTCAGTCAGTCCCTGTTTACTGAACCTGCTCCCACTCAGTC